TGAGGAGCTGGGAAGAAGAACTCGCCGAGCGCGTGAACGAACTCTCTAATACCAGTCGGGGAGCAGGGATCGCCTCTGATGGACCTGTCACTGCTACCCGACTGGTATTAGCGCATGCGTTCGAGCGCTCGGCGAGTTTTTCTTCCCGGCATGTACCAGGTCATGCACGGAAAAAAAGAAATTAGCTGATGTTTGCTGTAAAATTTCTGAAAATTAGCTACCACAGCTAAGAAGTTTGCAGTGGCAGCGAACATGTTAGCTGTGACAGCAAACATTAGTAAAAATTTATGCGAGTTTGCTGTCATAGCGAACTTGTTTGATCTCACAGCGAACTTTTTCGCTGTCCCTATTTCAACGAACAAGGTTTGCTGTGGCAGCAAAATGTTCGCTCAGCGCCAGTATAAGTGCCAACGTTAAAACTAACCTGAACTAACTCTTCTTCCCGGCTCCTCCTATTTTTCCTTGTTATAGTAAAGCAGGAGCCAAGTATGAGCATTTAATTAAAATTAAAATGACAAGGATATTTATTTGGTTAACTTTATTATTGTCAATTTTATTCACAGTCTGAACTGACTAGTGGCTATTTTTATTTCAACTAAAAATCCTTGTTATTTTAAATGTAGCAAGTTTTTTTTTACTTTTTTCAGTGCAGGCTTCGCACCCATGTACTAAAACCTACTATTTATTAATTTTAGATTTGTGCCACTAAGTATTTCTTTATTTTATATTTAAACATTTGCACTGCTAAGCCATTAATAGTTTTTTTTAAGTATTTGCACTAATTTAAATCTGCTAATATATAAAATATAAAAATTTACATTTATTTTCTTCAAAATAATAAAAAATTTATCTAATCTAATCTAGTCGATTCAAATTTCCCTAGATCTAAATTTTAAACTATTAAAGCTTATAATGATAGAACGTCCAAGCGCCCGTCCTGTCGGAATAAGGATTGTTTTCAGAAAAGCCTTTTTTGAAGAGGCTTTTAAAAAAAGGGAATTCAATTTTTATTTTTCGGCACTCCTTGGGATTAAAGTATAGACAAAAAGTCAAAAAAACATTCTTTCGTAAATTTAATGTAAAATTTAGAAAAATCAATATTTTTTGTCCGGGATAGTCTTTTTCTTCAGAAACGTTCAGAAAATGAAATATTGTTTAATTAAACAAACAGTTTATTTTTAATATTTTTTTAGATTCATGAAAAAAACCTAAGGTAAAGGTCCCATATGAAACGCTTTCATAATTTCGTCCCTATTATTATTTAAAAAGAAATGTTTAATTGCATTTTAGCTTTTAAATTAAGGTTAGCCGCAGGTTTTTCGTCAAACTACCGTTTCACATTAGGTACACTTATTATTTGCATGTGACCCGATTGATGGAACAGACAGAAAATATACAGCAAACACAACCTCGAATATTTTCAGTATTATCGCATTACTTTTCTACCAAAAAAATTGATTATATAATTACAGGCAAACCTCGCTACGGCGGAAAGCAATTAGACGATTCCGCCGTAGAGAGGTTCGTTAAAATACTATTAGTGAGTGAACGTTCAGGGATGTATCAACCATTTTAAATCATATGATCTTTAAATATGAAATAGAAGTTATGATAATTTATTAATAACCTTATTTAAAAATATGTATTAAAAATTATTGAATTCTTGCAAAGAATTTTGTCAAAAAATTTGAGAATAATTGAATTCCTTCGCAGAATTTTATTATTTATGAAAATAATCGAATTCTCGCGAAAAATTTAATTAAAATTTATAAAAATCTTAATTAAATTCTTTTGAAGAATATCTTTAAACTTTTTTAAAGTAATGAAGTTTCTTTAATAGTTATAATTAAAAATTTTTAAAGTAATAATTGAATTATACAAAGAATTTTTTCAACTTTTTAAAATAATCGTGTCTGTTAATAGGTAATTTTAAATATTTGATTTTTAAAGTTTATTAAAATTGTATTGAAAATAATTGAATTCCTCAGGAGAATTTTATTATTTATAAAAACTAATTTAATTTTTGCGATGAATTTTAAACATAATTATTTTTTTTAAATTACTTTGATTTGTTATTTCATTTATTTTATTATTTTTCATGTTTATTTTTTATAATATATAAAATATATTACAAAATAAACAAAAATTATGAATCAAATATAAATTAAATAATTTAAATAAAAAACCATCCGTATAAAAATTAAAATTCGAAACTTTTCGGCCCAGAATTTCATGGCACTCACACAGTCACAACTCTCACTGATATAATCCCTTCTACTTCTACCTGGCGAGTTTCCGCCGTATAGAAGTCCGCCGTAGCGAGGTTTGCCTGTATCTATTTAACTAGAATTTATTCTTTGTATTTAATTCTTTATAGTTAATATTCAAATTATTGGGATAAGTCAATACAATTTTAATTACTAATTAAATAAAATAGGTGTTTCATAATCGGGACATTAATTTTGAAACACCCGTACATACATCAGGAAACCATCGTTTCATAATCGGTACTAGTGCAGGGTTTCACAATTTACTTAATATTATTTTTATTTCATGAAAAATAAACATTTTAGGGCCTAAATACTGTTCGCAAAATACCAACCTTTCAATCTATACCAAAATTATTCATATATTAACACTCCTAATTCCAACAAACTTATCATAGAAATTTAGTTAGCTTAAAAAGCGTTCCATAATTGGGACCTTTACCTTATAAAAAGGTTCAACTTCTTTAAGCTAGGGACCATCCATAAACCACGTAGCTCCGATTTTTGAACTTTTCGACCCCTCCCCTCCCCCACGTAGCTTAACGTAGCATATTACCGAACCCCCTCCCCCCCTACCTAATGGAACGTAGCTTTTTTCTTTTTTTATGAATATTAAATTCTCTTTTCTAAAAATAATCAATAAAATCGTATTGAAACATAGTAAACAATATTAAATGTTTTTAAATCACAGTTTATTTTTTTCTTTGACAAGTAAGAGTTTGATACAAGACTAATTCTTAATTTTAATCGATATTTTTGTATATATATATGTATATTTTTTCATCACTATATATTTTATCAATATATGTGGACGTCCACATGAAAAGGGCCTATATTGTCGGTTCTAGTTTTCGAGATAATCACAATTTAGTAATTTTGGAGCAAAATCTTAATTTTTAAAAATTTTTTATTATCAATCTACATGTTTTGACAAGTCGACTCATGCGGTTTTCATTAATTTATCGATAATTTAACTGTTTGATTTCATTGGTTCTTTAGAAAATTGAAAAGGGCCCATTTTGGCGGTCATTTGCAAAATTAATCCGTATTTTAAAAATAGAGGTGTGGAAAAAATTTAAAACCTCTTGATTTTTCATCTTTAAGGTATCCTGGACTGTAAACAATTCTTATCTGAATAACTTCCCAGAAGAACCAGAGATATTGATGTTAGAGTCTTTTTTTCGTAATTGTCGAATTGAAAATTTGAATATTACGTTAATTTTTTCATAATAGAAACTGTCAAAAATTTTTAAATAAGTTTAATATCTATCCTTTTTCTTCAAATGACACAATTAAATTGTACCTAATAATTAATCTTGTTAAAAAATGGTTCTTTAATAGAAAAACTGTCCTTTTTAGAAAAAAAAGTTTTTCGTATTTTCAAAATTAAGAGGGGGGGGGATGGTTTTAAAAATTTAAAACCTGTTGGTTTTTTATCTTCAAGGTAACCGTTTTTCTCGAAATGAGGTTTTTGGCGTTCTAAACTTTTAAATTCGTAACTCAGCGAATTTTTAACCAAAAAAGTTCTAAGACCACTCAAAATTTTCCAACTTTTGCCAGGAATACGCCCATATAGATAACTTCAATAGTGTTAAAATGGACCCTTTTCATGTGGACGTCCACATATATTTCTCGACTTGACTTTCGAGCTGCCCGCGTAATTTAAAAAAAATGTATGTCAAATAAAAATACAAAGCTACGTTACTCAGACTAAAAAACCCTCCCTCCCCCCATGTGGTCTAACGTAGCACATTACCGAACCCCCTCCCCCCCAAAACAGGCTACGTGGTTTATGAATGGTCCCCTACCCAGCCCTGGGGTTTGAATTTACGTTCTCGATATTTACATGCGCTGAAAGCTGATGTTTTTACCTTTCCAATGTTATATTTTTCTTTATATTTTTCTAAACCCATATTAATTTTACAAAGCGATTTCGGAGGGACTTACGTAAGTCTTTTTTGTCCTGCCGTGGAAGGACGTTGGACACTCTATATGGTTAAGTTTTGATAAAAAAATAAAATTAATTAACATTGCAACACATTAACTAATTTACAAGTCAATTTGTTTTACCCAATATTTATTAGCATTTTTTAAAAATAATTCCTCCTTTAACTCTATTAGAATAAAAAATATATTATTGTAAATATTAGATAAAATAATATTTTATCTTATCTTTTTTCTACTACTATTTAATTATATTTTAATTTAATTTTTAAAAAGAACAATTAAAATACACAAAAAATGAAATAAATAAATGAGCATCTTAATACATTGATATTATACCTAACATATATAACAGAAAAAAGAAAAAAATGTAATAGAGTCACCTGGGGTAAATGCAAATCAAAGATTTTTTTAAATAGCAATCTTTCGTTTTTCTCTTCTTATTTCACTTCACTGGAACAATTTTTTAAGTGGGTGCAAAATATAGATAACATTAAATCACATAAAACTTTTTATTTGCCTCTTAATATTCCAACTTGATATAAACCGCAGGCATTTAAAAAACATTGAAAGAAAAACCAATTTTGAGTATGCAAATGTTAAGAGATGCAAAGAATAATATTTAAAAAATCGAATTAGTCATTTTTTTAAAAATTAAAAGTTATATATGAACCTATTTATTCCAGCAGTTTCTTTCTAAATTTAAATTGCGATAGTGCAGTGAATAGAGAATCTAGAAATTTATTTAAAGAAAAGAAAATTTAACATCTACATTTATATTATACTCACGCAAATTGAAAAATGTTTTTATTTCACATTAAGGTGCTCGAAAAACTAAAGAGTAGTTTGACAGTAAAAGTGATTTCAGATAAGCATTTTACACACGTGTGCCTGATATACATATATATCAACAAAACATGTTTATTCACTTTTCTGTCATAACACGTTTTCACAAAAATAATCCCCCGAACGGTTTCAAAAATATTTCCTCTCAAAGAACAACACATTTACTTTTTTTAACTCTCCACATAATTTTTCCACTGGAGAATTATTAATTTTTCAAAATAATTATTCAATACTGTCACGAATATTGATAATTATAAGCACAGATAAATTTCTGGGTTGCACATCTGAAACTTATTGCACTCACATAACCTCAAATTTGGACATGTATTTTTTTAAATTCACACTCATTTTAGGCATTGTCGATAATGAATTATTATATTATATTAAATTTTTGTTTTTGATTTTTAAAACGATTAATCACTAATAAACAAATAATCCTGATGTTTGGATTCACATATTATTTTATGTGTTTGTTTACCTGACGAATTGATTGTCCGTGTAGGACAATGACAAATAATAAAATTTTTCAGCTCTTTTTTTGTGTGGTAGATATTATTCGAGAAACGCCATTTTTGGACGACGGAAAAAAGGCTGACGCGCGTTCGACGTGCGTGATCTCACTGACCCGCACTTCTCGAGGTATAATAGGCAACAGCCTGTGCACTTGCAAACTTGCTATGCGTTTGGAGAATAGAAGTAGTTACAGGTATGTAGTTGAAATCTACCTGTCAACAGGGCCGTACTAAGCTGCATGCCGCGCACTGACACCTGTTGGTTCATCTTCTCCTCTCGTAACAATTTCCGAAAATCTTTTGAATAACATTTTTATATTAATAAACTTTTGCGACTAAAATTAAAACAAATTATATACCTGGAAATGTTTAAACAAACAACTTTTTCAATCATTTTTTTGGCATTTTGATTCATCGTGGAGGAAGCTTTTGTTTTAGCAATAAAGAAGCATTTCAGCCGGATGACAGCGTGTAAATTGTGTCAAACTCAAATGCATATTATAGTCAGTTCAGTTCACACAACACCAGAGTTGGGGACTTGAAATACCTCAAGTAAATCAAGTGGTTTTTAATACTATAATACCTATAGGTAGTATTTTACATTACTAGTTTCTGAAGCGAGGTAAAAAAAAACTCAAACATAACCTTTAGGCTGATTCCAGAATAGCTAAAAAGGCTAAAAATCGTCTCGACTTTCAAGAGGATTCGATGCGCGTACATACATTTTTGTTTACTGCGCATCGAAATCGAGACGATTTATTTTATTGTGGACTCAACCTTAAATAATTCCAAACTGTTCCACTTTACTTCAATAATGGGTGTTACGAAAAAAGACACAATTAAGATTTAGGACTAAAAAAAACACTCCCGAAGAAAATATAACAAAAAATATAGTTTTCATGTCGTTTTCTGCACAAATAAAATGAGTTTTTTCTGAATTTTCTTTTTCGTGTTGTAATGTTTATTTAAAAATTTACTATAAGCAAATTATAGTTTTTAAAGTTAAAAGTCTATTTTTACATTCTCATAAAAAATGAGAAGGTCTTCGATTTGTGCGATTTTGAGCTATATTTATCTACTTTTGGTAAATCTTCACGTCCCCTGATTCCAAAAAAGCGGTTTCTAGAAAAGTGTCTGTCTGTATAGTAAAATTTGGTGCACTTTGTTAGTCACACTTGCGTCCACCAACCATTTATTTTGACTGCGGTTACGTGCTCGTTAAATTTTATTTGTGAAAGATTCAAAGTTTGTGACTGAGACCTCTACTGTACTAATAAACTAAGGCTCTCGCTGACGGCCGTAAAACATATACACATTGGTAAGTTCAATTCTTGTCTATTTCGTTTTAATATTTCGTAATTTTTTAATTCCTTTGAAGTTTGCAACACTTTGAGATAAGTATATTTTTAAAATTCAGTATTTATAGAGCAGTTTAAATAGCTGAGCGGACATGCTGTTTATCTCCGATAATGAAAGTTGAGGGTTCAAATCTTCGGACTGACCAATTTTTTTTTCGCATAAAATATTAAAACGGTATATTTTATATTCAAAAGAATTGAACTTGGCTTTTAAGCTGCTTCTACAACAATTTTTTTTTATCAACATGAACGAGAAAACGATGCGTGCGCAATTATTTTGCATGGTTTTAACAGTGCATCATTGTTCCTGTCGATAAAAAAAAGTTTTAGAAGCAGCTTTAATATCTGCAAATATTGGAAAAGACTTGTTTAAACATAAATTCATATTTATAAAGAACATACTTTTTAGCATCTGAGATATTAAACAATATGATCTAGATGATATGCATCAGCATCTTTTCTTAATATCTAGGTATAGTACATTAATATTTTTAATATCCACTTCTCTGCCCCTGTGTATAGATTGAACAGTACGCTCTGCTGCAAATCTTGTGGCGAAGCATAATATTATGAACTCTTCATTTTGAAATTGTTTGTTTCAATATTTGTTTTATTTTTCAACATTTATCATCAATATTATTCTCCAGAAAATTTGTAATATTTTTATTTGGTAAAATTTTACAAATTATTTGGGTAATAACTAATTAATAAATTAATAAAATTTAAGTAACAATGACAAAAATTAAAAATGGTATTAGTAAAAACTAATTATATTATATTTTACAACTTTGTTTGAAGGAACATTAAAAAATTAATGTATTTTGGTTACATAAAATATATTTTGAAAATTATTAATTATTATAAACAAAAACAATTATAAAACACAAAAAGTACCTGGGATTTTAATATTTTTAAATAATAAATTGTAAATGAGGCATTCTGTGTGAAAATTTCACTGAAAAAATTTTTTTTTATTAAAACAATTTTTTTCGAATTCTATATGAAAAAAAAAAGTAAATACCTATTTTAATTATTTTATTATTTTAATTATGGAAGTTATGGTTTTTTTTAAATTAACATCTTCAGAAGCAGAGGAGTTTTAAAACACTTTTTTCTCCAATATACCAAAAGATACACTGAGAAAACTGGAGTATTGGACTAAACATCTGGAGGGACAAATCGTTCATATTTGAGAGTTTGCTATTGGATAACAATCTAAATGTTCAAATTCACCATTGACAGATATTCGTGCCATTTCTCTAACAGAGGGACAAATTAACCATCTTGAGAAATCCCTTCCTTATCCGGCGCGAAATGAATAAATATGGCAACCTAACCCCTAAATTAAATACATAAAATGTCAGAAAAATAATTTCGCGCGCATCAGATCGTACACATTTTCTGCGCAACTTTTAACCCTCAGATATAATGGGAGAGAATATACAAGTTGATTTCCATTATCAATTCAAAATTTATTTTAGAAGGACTATTTAACTCTCTTCATAAGCAAAGGAAACATACACTTTTTGAACCTCTGAATTTGAATCTCCAGTTTTCTCAGTGTAAATAATAATGTAATATATACACTGGAGCTTCACTTATTTTCAACCAGGGATGGGTAAATGTAAGAAACTCGAGGTTTTCTACGTATGTTACATGTATGTTACATGAGGTAACATACGTATATTACCCACCACTCTCGAAAAATACATGGATGTAACAATGTAAGGACGTAACATACTAGGTAACATACAGCAACAAACCCAGGTAACATACATGAAGTATGTTACGTACCCATCCCTGTTTTCAACAAGTCCAAACAAACTGAAAGGAAGAGTCGCAGTTATTTTCACTCTGAAACGTAATATTCGAGTTGATTTGATTGGTGGATTCTTTAACATCAACCAATGAGAACGCACGGAGAACCTTTAACTGAAAATAAGTGAGACTGGCAGGGGCGGATCCAGACAAGGTTCTTGAGGGGGGGGGGGCATCTGCTAGACGTTAGCTTGATGACCTTATATGAATGGAATTTTTATTTAAAAAATTCCAGGAAGTTTGAATTCTCGGGAGGGGGGGGCATGCCACTGTGCCCCCCCTGAATCCGCGCCTGGATACTGGAAATTGTGAAAATAAGTGCGACTACAAATAAGTGAGACTGAAAATAAGTGAAGCTTTAGTGTATATGGAAATTATTTTTTTTAAAAATATTTTAAATATGTAATAAAAAATAACGTTAATAAAGCGAAAACATTAAATAAATTGAAATTTCGTCTAAAAAGACACTGATAAATAAAAAAAGAAAGTTTCCACCTTTTCGTAAAGTGCGGTGTTCCTTTTGGGTTAAAATGATATTTAAAAATATGTCTGTCGTTGCACAGAGTTTAAAGGAAATTGAGAAATTAAACCACTTTAAAACTCCATTCCATTAGTAAGGCATTTGTTTTGTTTTTGACTGTTAATTTTTTAACAAGTGTAAAAGTCGAATAAAACTCTGTGCAACGAATGACATAATTTTAAATATCATTTTATCCTTAAAGAACACCTTGGCATAAGTGCAGAAAAATTTCTTTATTTATCAGTGATTGCAATTAAAGAAAAAAAAATGTAAAATCGATTACTTTGGTTTTGGGAACAGTCACTTTTTAGACGAAATTTCAATTTATTTTCGCTTTATTAACGTTATTTTTTATAACACACATACTTGAAATATTCAAGAAAAAATAAATAATTTTGATATATTCCCAGTAAAAAAAAAACTAATTCAAACGGATTGAAATGAATTAAGATTTTTGGTAGAAAGCGGGATTCATTCAAGCTCTTTGTATATTCGATTGAATTCAATTCAATTTGCCTGAAGTTGTGCAAACGAATTCGCATTCGTAAGAAATAATGACCAATGCATGCATAGAATTCGTGCTGATGAATTAAAAAAAATTAAAGGCCCCAAAACTTGTCCATTGAATTAGTATACCCGTGCAGAAATTTTGACCGGGGCCAGGTCGGGGCCAGATCGGGACAAACCGGGCCCCGATCTGGCAACCCGACCTGGCCCCGGCCTGGTTGAAACACTAAAACCGACCGGGGCCATGGCACTTTGCCCGATCTGGCCGCCCTGTCGGGACCCGGTCGGGGCCATGGGATTTCCCCCGATCTTTTCGCTACCCAGGTAGAATTCCAATACTGACTGCATTTTATTATATTAAAGCTTGTTATTTGATTATTAAAGAATGGGGAGTATTTACTTCAATATTAATGATTATTATTAATATTTTTGTAGTAAATAAACTTTTATGAGTGTCATTAAAAATGTAAATAGTTATTAGAATTGCTTTTATTGGACTAAGTTTTTAAAAAAAATATTTTTCTTATTTTCTTTCATTAATTTAGACAGACTATCTTATTTAAATTAATAATTATTTATAATTATTATTATTGTTAATAATTATTTAAACCTATACTTTATGTAACATTAT